CACGCTTAAGAGCAAGTATGAGATTCATCTCCCTCATACCCTTCTTGATCTCTTCTAGGTCTTTACCAAGTTTTTCACGGGCCAAAGCCCGTTCTATGGAAGTTTTGTGGAAATTTAACAAGCTTACCTTCTTTTCTATGCTACCTTTCACCTCGATGGCTTCTTCTCTTGCCTTGTCATGTCTTTATAGCACTGTTGTGCTACCAGGAACTGCCTTGCAATATCGGTGATTGACTTGGGGGATTCTGTATGATACATTTACCTGCCGCTTAATCCACAGCTCCAAGTTTAAGCGGGTCAATGTTCTTCGATGATACTTTGTCTGACTTATCTCACGTCCTTGTGCTTCTTGTATCAGCAGTAGGTATCTTCTTTACATCTATATAAGCCTCAAACTCGTATTGTTGCTGTACAGGAAACGATACAATCAATGGCCATCTCCCTCTCCGTATTCATCCAAATCGGTCAAGGAATGATTTCAGCACCTCTTCTGGCAACCTGCTTCGCGAGATTTCGATTTCACGGATGAGTGGTTCAAACATGATCATTCTGATGGAACAGGGTTTTCGGTATACTGACAGTATGTTCTCTCATATCCTTCACATAGCTTTTTCCAACTGCATCTTTTTTCCATTATTTTCATTTATGATTCCAGATGCAGACTTTTTCCTTTTACTCGCCATTTTATGTTTTGCTCAGAGTCAACTTCGGAGTCAACCGGTCAGCACGTCGACAATGCCGAGAAAATCTATATAAATATATATTCGTCGAGTGACGACGAATTGAAAGGTACTTCGAATTTTTCTTCACTAACTGAGCATAATTTAATTGAAGAATGGGAAATGACTTGTCGATTATTGCTGCTTTCAGCTTTATCACTTGTAAATGAACTAAAGGATAACAATACTTTGCAATATTACAGACCTTATCATGATTATAATTACTGAATTTTAATCAGAAGCAAAAACTGAATGAAAAGTTAGGAGTATGCGGATTCAAAGAACTCTAGTAATGTATGAAGAAAGCAAAAATACCACAGTATCAACGCTTGCTGAGGTAAAAAACGTGAAGTAGTTATTTTTTTAATATGTAATATCTGCTTGAGGATTCAAAAAAAATCCATTAAAATGAATGAAAAAGATTGCAGTAAATGCTCGCTTTATGAGTTACTCAAACATACACATTTTAAAATTATGCCTTATTCACAGAAAAAAGAAAGAGTAAAAATAAATACCTGATTTCGGAGATTTTCTTAAAAAAGCATATTCTTTAGAAAAAAATTTGGATCAAGTATTTATTAATGCTTACTTTCAGAAATTTCTAAAAAATCTTGAAAGACCGAAAACTAATAATGATTTTATTACCTTACGAGCACGTGTAATTCCTTTCCATAACGCGAAGTACACAATAACCCATGAAAACGCCATTATCCCTAGAAGCTCCCATTGAATCCCACCAAAATTACCAATCGAATTGGTTTGCATCAATACACGTTTCCTAAAACAGTAACATTTTTATCAAACATAGTTGTAAAGTGCTATTTTAAGTCATTGTCAAATCGAAGTTTGTTAAGAAAAAAGTAGTAGCTAAGAGATAAACTGATAACTCTTGATTGAAAACTGGTGAAAATCCATTTTCCTACATCGTATTTTTATAATACTTGCCGTTACTTTACCGAAGTAATCTGTTTCAGAAATTATAATTTTTTATAAACTGCTTACTCCCAATATTGTTCAACGCTAGTTTCGACTGTTAAGTTATACTTTGATAAATTCGCAATCAACTGAGTTATCGTTGTTGTATTTTCATACCCGGTAACACAACTCTCATCATTCCTTAAATTTTTATTGCTATAAAAGTATTTCAAACATACTTATTAGAATTTTTTGGATTTTAACGCGTCAAAATATATTGATAGCTCATGAAAAATAAATGGAATAAAAATTTACCACCAATTATTGCAAGTTTCCCACGGAAAAACTATTGATATGGAACTGATCATATAAAAGATGGACCAACTTGAGATGACACAAAAGTAAGAGATGCACATAAATGCAATTATTACATTTCCGATACCGACACCTTAATCAAACTTTCATACACTTTTACGATAATCACCTGAATCCTAGAGATTCAAAAATATCAAAGTGTGATGGCAATGCATATAAAATACTGAACTCACGGCACTGCTTCAAAGAAGTAGTATCCGAAACACATAATTATAATTTCTACTACAAATGATAATGGTCTCATTATTGGTCAAATAGTAAACTATGTAAAAATTAACATTTGAAAAATAAGGCAACAATGATGGGATCAATAAAAGAAAGTAAAATATTTGAATCTTCACAGCATGCTTATATTTTGCTTACAAAATGCTAAAAATTATAAAGTAAATATTTTATAGAAACTGTGATTATTAAATCAAGTATATATTACATAAATTCAAAACTACCTTTGAATAAGGGGCACAATTTCCACATTTCCATAGCACCACGTTGAACATACTGTCCAATCGTGATTTCCAATATGAATATAGGCAGAGCACCAAATGAGAAAAATATGGCATAAGCAACAAGAAATGAACCTATAATATTATTTTTAATTCATCAATATAAGTGCTGTTGGAGTAAAAATTAATTCGTCAATATTCAGTGTTAACAGAAAGATTTGAATGATCAAAAAAAGTAGAGGCTGTTTGAAAGTGGGAAGAAAAACGAACCACCACCATTTTTAAAGCATAAGTATGGGAATCTCCACACATTGCCTGAAAAATAATGAAAACATATCCTTCATGTATAAGTGATAAATGGAAACTGACAGCAACAACATAATGCATCGATTCAATTCTAAGACTAGTGAAATGCATTAGAAAAAAGTGAGTAAATAATTTGCGATACTGTAAATACACGTCAACGAGTCACAAAGATTGTGTTCGTGTCTGGTTTTCCGCATCTTTCACTTATTTAATCTGCTCGCTGTTTTCTGTTCACTCACTGCTGAAGTAGTAAAAAAAGCACAATAATCGTGGTAGATAAATAAATGTGTAGTACCCCCTCAATCTCAGTGTTTAATTGCTTATGTTCTTTCCGTAAATGAATAAATGAATGATAAATTGGAATTCCCATGAAAAGTAATCATGACATCAGCATGGAAACGGAGCCAATTTTTAATTTGTTATTTCATACTCCATTATGTTGTTGCTATCAATGATTGCAGGAAAGTTCGCCATAATAAGCTCAACTATCAGTTCGATTCTTACCTAAGCCAACAGCGTATGCAATCATCGACATTATAAAGTCGAATCGTCCCGACCACTGATCCCTACCTACAATCGCAGTTTTTGCCACTGATAATCCTTTATCTTTGTTATCAATCTTCAAACCTTCTGTTAAATTTGCTACACCTGCAAATTGTATAAGCGAAAAACAATTGGAAATCGCATGGTTATTACGATGATATTTCTTAAGATAATTACCAGTAATTCAGATTTTACTAAACTTGTCGATGATATAAATACTCACAAGATACCAAAAAAATATGTGTTATTACCTACTTTGTTTTACTCTTTTATTTTAATGAACCAATTTTTCTCTGACAAATTTAGAATTTGCTGGCTTTGAAAATTTCTTTTAAAATTTTTTAAATCGAAAAGAAATAAGTGAAATTGACCATACTGAACGGACATCTTCGGAAATTCTCAATTTTAAAAATCAAATTTTTTTTCCAATCTAATAAGATTTTATTAAAAGCTTAATTAGACACCTGCTGGTTCAACCCGAGCTTTCATACTCTTTCCTAATTATAATGCAAATCGTTAGAGAAAGATAACGTGTATTCTGCCTCCAAAAAAATACGTAAACATTCGTAGCGCACTTTTTCATTAAATTGTTAATTTCAGCAGAAAAACCAACACGTACACGGTTTTAAACAATGTTTAGTATAAATCGAAGTCGAATAGTAGGTGGACTTTACGTAACAACTCGCGCAAGGTGAATGTTAATATATTTCGCGAACTTCTAGAATTATCACACAAGAAAGAAAAAAGCAAATTGTATTGCAAACTTGTGACATATAAGTTTGCTGAGTTAAAAAACTTTAAATTAAAGCACAGTACAAAATATACAATATATTATACAGGATTTTGAAATATGATTGAATAACACGGTTTTCCACGTCTAAAAACAAAAGTTTGCTATTCAAAAAAGTACACAAATTCGCCACGTGTTGTGCAAATAAACACAATGAAACAAATCTTGAAAAATTGCAAATTTTTTCAGGGAGTTTTTGAGCACAAAAGAATTCAAAAAATAAGGCAGTTAAAGGTTAAACAGATCATAATTCAATCTCTGAAAACTAAAATTACGAATAAATTTTGATTACTTTCATCAGGCCAAAAATATGAACTTCTTCGGTTGAGCAATGTCAAATAAAAACTGACCAAAAATAATCACTAAGACACAAACCATTCTTACAGGTTGGATAAAACATACAGGAATTAAAACATTCTGCTACAACAAACTTCCTAAAAAAACATTCTCGAATGGAATAAGGAACAAGCTATCCCACCTCAGACTATCCATATCAATTGCGTATAAAATAATTAATGGCCCTCAAATTCAATGAGCAGTTTATCAATAAGCCAAAAATTAAAGTCTATTTTCATATCGAAATTCGATCTCCAGTATTAGTCCATTGCAATATAAAACAGAACTGACTACTTAGTTGGTTAATAATAGTTCTTGGAAATTCAAAAAAGAAAATGGAAAATAGCAATCGGACATTTTCGCTTCTTAACCATGAAAGTTATTATTCCTTCTTACTTATTACCATTTTTCAAAAACCATAATAATAATAATAATAATTTATTATATGTTAATATCATTTATTATTATTATTATTATTATTATTATTATTATTATTATTATTATTATCATTTATGTTATTATTATTATTATTATTATTACTATTATTATTATTATTATTATAGTTAGAATATCAGAAGTCCGAGAAGAAAAAAAAGGACGAACGGAGAAAAACCGTATCTGGAATCATAGTGGAAAACAATGGGAAAACAAATGAGGTTGTAAAAAGCTCCGTGAAAGATGTAAGAGAGCACTCTGCCAGTTTACTGGAAGCTAGGCTCGAAGTACTCAATCGAGAAATCAAGGCTCTACAGAGCAGCTGACTAGGAGGAGTGCTGCAGTTCTTGATCGTTTGGGAAGATGCCGAGAGAGGATGGCCCTTGTGTCGTTGCCACTATTGAGAGAAGTCTTGTGTGCTATTACCCTCGAAAGAATTAAAGAAGCAAGCAAATTCTGTAACCACCAGTATTGCAGGTCGTCCGTACTCGCAGAAACGGTTCTTAGAGGAGAGTCCACTGAACGTCTCAAAGCATAAGACAAGCTCTTCGAGCAAAAGACGCTACACGAGTCTCAGGTTTATCTAGACTTAAAAGAAAAATATCTAAAAGCACAGGGACTTGAGATAAACAGAAAGTGGGCGCGGAAAATAACATCGGAGAGCGTGGACCCGCTTACACTTGGAGCAGTGAACCAAGCGGCCAAGTCAATGACCGATATTGCAAGGCAGTTCCTGGTAGCACAACAGTGCTATAAAGAC